TTTCCTACGGAATTAGCTGCTGAATCCAACACTTAGAACGTCAGAACCCCCAAAAGCACCAAAAGGTATAGTGTTTCAGAGATAAAAGATCGCCAATGTTTGCAAATCATATAGGAGGGAAAAGCCAAATGGTACGAAATTATGCCTATGTTTCCTACGGAATTAGCTGCTGAATCCAACACTTAGAACGTCAGAACCACCAAAAAGCACCAAAAGGTATAGTGTTCAAGAGGTAAAGATCGCCAATTCAATATTTGCAAATCATATGGGAGGGAAAAGCCAAATGGTACGAAATTATGTCTATGTTTCCTACGGAATTAGCTGCTGAATCCAACACTTAGAACGTCAGAACCCCAAAAAAGCACCAAAAGGATCCAAAAGGTAGAGTGTTCCAGAGATAAAAGATCGCCAATATTTGCAAATCATATGGGAGGGAAAAGCCAAATGGTACGAAATTATGTCTAGGTTTCCTACGGAATTAGCTGCTGAATCCAACACTTAGAACGTCAGAACCCCTAAAAAGCACCAAAAGGTATAGTGTTCCAGAGATAAAAGATCACCAATATTTGGAGGGAAAAGCCACATGGTACGAAATTATGTCTATGTTTCCTCGGAATTAGCTGCTGAATCCAACACTTAGAACGTCAGAACCCCCAAAAAGCACCAAAAGGATCCAAAAGGTAGAGTGTTCCAGAGATAAAAGATCGCCAATATTTGCAAATCATATGGGCGGGAAAAGCCAAATGGTACGAAATTATGTCTATGTTTCCTACGGAATTAGCTGCTGAATCCAACACTTAGAACGTCAGAACCCCCAAAAAGCACCAAAAGGATCCAAAAGGTATAGTGTTCCAGAGATAAAAGAAAGCCAATTCAATATTTGCAAATCATATGGGAGGGAAAAGCCAAATGGTACGAAATTATGTCTATGTTTCCTACGGAATTAGCTGCTGAATCCAACACTTAGAACGTCAGACCCCCCAAAAAGCACCAAAAGGTATAGTGTTCCAGAGATAAAAGATCGCCAAGATTTGCAAATCATATGGGAGGGAAAAGCCAAATGGTACGAAATTATGTCTATGTTTCCTACGGAATTAGCTGCTGAATCCACCACTTAGAACGTCAGAACCCCAAGAAGCACCAAAAGGTAGAGTGTTCCAAGAGCTAAAGACCGCCAAGATTGGCAAATCATATGGGACGGAAAAGCCAAATGGTACGAAATTATGTCTATGTTTCCTACGGAATTAGCTGCTGAATCCAACACTTAGAACGTCAGAACCCCCAAAAAGCACCAAAAGGATCCAAAAGGTATAGTGTTTCAGAGATAAAAGATCGCCAATGTTTGCAAATCATATAGGAGGGAAAAGCCAAATGGTACGAAATTATGTCTATGTTTCCTACGGAATTAGCTGCTGAATCCAACACTTAGAACGTCAGAACCCCCAAAAAGCACCAAAAGGATCCAAAAGGTATAGTGTTCCAGAGATAAAAAGATCGCCAATATTTGCAAATCATATGGGAGGGAAAAGCCAAATGGCACGAAATTATGTCCATGTTTCCTACGGAATTAGCTGCTAAATCCAACACTTAGAACGTCAGAACCCCCAAAAAGCACCAAAAGGATCCAAAAGGTATAATGTTCCAGAGATAAAAGATCGCCAATATTTGCAAATCATATTGGAGGGAAAAGCCAAATGGAACGAATTTTTGTCTATGTTTCCTACAGAATTAGCTGCTGAATCCAACACTTAGAACGTCAGAACCCCCAAAAAGCACCAAAAGGATCCAAAAGGTATAGTGTTCCAGAGATAAAAGATCGCCAATGTTTGCAAATCATATTGGAGGGAAAAGCTAAATGGTACGAAATTATGTCTATGTTTCCTACGGAATTAGCTTCTGAATCCAACACTTAGAACGTCAGAACCCCCCAAAAAGCACCAAAAGGCATAGTGTTTCAGAGATAAAAGATCGCCAATATTTGCAAATCATATGGGAGGGAAAAGCCAAATGGTACGAAATTATGTCTATGTTTCCTACGGAATTAGCTGCTGAATCCAACACTTAGAACGTCAGAACCCCCAAAAAGCACCAAAAGGATCCAAAAGGTAGAGTGTTCCAGAGATAAAAGATCGCCAATATTTGCAAATCATATGGGAGGGAAAAGCCAAATGGTACCAAATTATGTCTATGTTTCCTACGGAATTAGCTGCTGAATCCAACACTTAGAACGTCAGAACCCCCAAAAAGCACCAAAAGGATCCAAAAGGTATAGTGTTCCAGAGATAAAAGATCGCCAATATTTGCGAATCATATGGGAGGGAAAAGCCAAATGGTACGAAATTATGTCTATGTTTCCTACGGAATTAGTTCCTGAATCCAACACTTAGAACGACAGAACCCCCAAAAAGCAACAAAAGGATCCAAAAGGTATAGTGTTCCAGAGATGAAAGATCGCCAATGTTTGCAAATCATATAGGAGGGAAAAGCCAAATGGTACGAAATTATGTCTATGTTTCCTACGGCATTAGCTGCTGAATCCAACACTTAGAACATCAGAACTCAGAACCCCCAAAAAGCACCAAAAGGTATAGTGTTCCAGAGATAAAAGATCACCAATATTTGCACATCATATGGGAGGGAAAAGCCAAATGGTACGAAATTATGTCTATGCTTCCTACGGAATTAGCTGCTGGATCCAACACTTAGAGATAAAAGATTTCACAAGCCTTTCCACTATCATCAGTGACCTAGACACGTTCTAAGTGTTAAATCCCCGGTACGTTCTAAGTGATGAATCTTGATATTTGGACGTTCTAAGTGTATGGTTTTCGACGTTCTAAGTGCAAGGCTTAGAACGTAAAAAAAGCAGTAATATTCAGAAAAGTTTTTCCAAAATACGTTCTAAGTGATTGTCCGTCACTATAATGTTTTTCAGAGGGGTAGGTTGAAACCACCAAGCAGTTTTTGGAAAATCTACTGGGGGGTTATTCTTGCAGATTTCAGGTCCAAGTTTTTTCCAAGATAAATATAGATAAATAACAAGTGTTTTTTTCTACAAATCTAGTAACAGTTTGGGAATCGACTGGGAAAATCTTGTTTACGCATTGGTTGCCTTCTGCTAATCAAACATTGCAATTGAACATAATTTATCAATAGTGGTCATAGCTGGGAAAGTCCTCAAAAACTAACTCAACGGTGGATGCTCATGGATTTCCAGCAATCCATGTTTGACTGTATGAGGGTAAATATGTTTAATATATACTACGTACATATCATATACATACATAGATAAATAATTAAATGAATGCATAATATTATATATATACATATATATCCCATAAACATCATAAACCTCCATTTCTCCCATTAACTCACTCTAACATCACCCAAGTTTCAGCACAATTCCAACCAAGGCGGAGACAGCGCGTCAAGCCTTCCGCATCCCATCCTTGGCCAGCGAATCGGATCATCTCTTCCTGCCGGTGGGGCCTCGAAAATTGTCATGACAAGTCCTGCTGAAGTTGGGGCCTCCCAAAGATAGTGAAGGTGTGACTCCAATAAAACTGTATGGTTTGGCGTGATTAGATACATATATATATATATATATATTTAGAACTAGGGGTACCCAGTTTGTACCAAAATTGGTACCCGTCTAAACTGGGGGGGTTGTAATCCTTGGCTCTTCAAAATGGTGTCCATTGGGGTCCATATAGATCAATGGCCATTCCAGGAACCCAAAATATGGCCGGAAAAATGGTACTAACATGTACTAACGTACCTCTATGAATTAGGATCCTGGAATGACCTTTGAATAGATGTTGTTGTTTTCTCAATGTCACACGTCCCTCAGCTATGTTCCAGCATGTTCCATAGCAGAAATCCAGCAGACTGATGCCTGTAGAAGTATTTTTGGGTGGCCCTTGATGATCTTGATTCCCCACCCTCTTCCCCACCCTCTTCCCCACCCTCTTCCCCACCCTCTTCGACTAACATGCATCCAGATCCTTGACTCAACATATCTATAGGAATCCGTTATATAGTTTCTCATAGTTTGACTGGGAAACTATGGATCGATGTTTCGGGATAAGTGGATTGTGAATCATGATACATTATGGATGCCTGGTTGCTGGTTTCAACAATGTTTGATGTTCAACCATGTTTGGGATTATATATATAATATATATATATATACATATTACAATGATTTACTATATATATAATATAATACATATTACATGTAGATGGGTTAAAACAGTTTGAAACCACCAGCCAGATGAGTGGATGTGAAATGATGATTGGTTGGTGGTTGTTGTTACACCGACATATCTACTATATACACATCATGAAGCAATTGGTACCCAAAAAATAGATATCAGGATATCAGATATTGCAATAGATATTGCATCAGTAATCCTCAGTTATATCAATTGTGAGTAAATGTTTGTAATATCCATTCTTCATTTGATATTCATTGACCATTGATATTACGCAGGAATCCTCCCTTCAGGCAGGACATCCAGCAGCAGCTTCGCCCCCAGCAAACTCTGCACCCAGGGGTGGAAAGTCCGAAGCCCAGCGCCGGGACTTGGGCCGAAAATGGGGGGATTTCACCAAGAAACATAGGAGAATCATGCGATAGAATGGGGATTATAATATATTATAACATGATATAGCTACCCTCTGATAAACTAACATTACTATTGACAACGGCCATTTATTATAGTTGATGTACCTTTTGAAAATGGTGATGTTCCATCGTTTTTTGTGAGTTTACCAGAGGGTAAGCAACTCCAAAACAATTATGGACTTGAAGCAATTGAGGTTATGATAATATAGATTATTATATATTATATATATATGTGTATCCACACAACCATATATATATATACACATAAATATCCTAATTTTGGACTTGAAGCAAGACATTTTGGACTTCACCATGGACCAAAGAATTCTACAAACATTTCTGAGGCCTAGCACCCTGGCGGATCGCGTGGCGCATGAGGAGTGGAAGGGGGGTGAAAAATCCTGGGGTGACGGTAAATCCATGGGAAAATCCATAGAAATGGACCGTTTTAATGGGAAATCCCCCATGAATGCAGGGTTTTCATGTGTTTTAATGAGAAAATCAACTGGGGTTGCTGTATGAAATGTGGATTTTGGACCAGGGTTGACAGTGTCAAACCCGCCTTTTGGTGGCTGTCGCTCACCAGTCATGTCATGTTTTCACGTCGCGAGTTTCTCGAATGACTCTAGACCTTTGGGAAGATGGACCATGATGTTTCGTGATGTTTCTATGAATTTGGGAATATGTTTCATTAAATATTTACAGTAATATGGGAAGAATCAGATTTCACCAGACTTGTTTCATGTTTCAAACCTGATTCAACCGCTGCCAGGAAGCTGCTAGACAAGGTGGATCCTGAAGCGGAAATGAAGGATGGCATCTACTAACAAAAGAGGTGTTCATGATGTTTCAGATGAGTATATTGAAAGTATGTATTGAATGGGTGATGTGTATTTAACAATGTTTCTAATGGTTCCATCTTCATGTTGCTTATTGAATGGGTGATGTTAAAGATTGTATTCAACTAGCCGGATGAGTTCCAGAATATCCTACCTACTGCAAACGCTGCAAGAGGACATGTCGAATGCCAATGATGATCCCTGCAGTGATTGTTACACACCCTGACACAAAGTGGGGTTGAACAATGAGCAGGAGATGGAACATCCCCTGGTATCCCAAAGACGTGTCCTACCCAAAAAATTGAATACCCCCAAAAAACATCTCAAAGATCTCTATTTTTTCAAAAAAAACTGCAGAAAACCATCCAACCATCCAACCATCCAACCATCCAACCATCCAACCATCCAACCATCCCCAGCGTCAGCTTCAGGTGGCAGCTTGCCTGTGGGTCGGCAACCTGAGAGTGAACCTGGACTTAGTCAGGCTGGAGATCAGCCGGCGTGGCTCAGCTGAAAGGGAAGAGAGTTTTGTGTCACCCTTGGCGGGTTGAATCACATATGTATATGTATATGTATATATATATAAAATATAATATATATAATATATAATATAATATAATATGATACTTTGCTCCCTTTATCATAGTTGAATAGTTGATCATCAAAAAATATTGGTTTTGAGCCAGTGGAGCATCAGGATCACCATCTAACATCAGATATGTTTAAGATTCCACCTGGTTACCATTCCCCTCATCCAGCCACAGCGGTATACAGCAGTGGCTGCTGCTGCCACTTGTGTGCGGTTGCTGCTGCGGTGGCACCAGTCTTCGTCTTCCCTGAGCAGGTGCCAATGTCAGGGATGTGGGTGTAAGGTAGTCAGTTGAAACTCAGCATGATGCCATGGGTGGCAAATTTTATTGTGTGAGCCATTTTCAAGCTCAAACCAAGCGGCTATGTGCATGGCATGGTTGATGGCCCCCTATCACCGCCCCTTTATAAAATGACAAATTTGATTTAGATCACCTGCATATTTTTCCTATTGACACTTTGCTGCAGCAGCCTTTCCGAAATCGGCTGTTGTACCTGTGCCCTGTGCAATGGCCAAAAGGGGCGCTGATGAAAAGAGTGCAGATGGTGGGTTTCTCGCACTGGTTTTTGCAAAAATCTTGCCTCTTTGTCATTTATATAAATTTGATTTTTGGTGTTTTTTTTAAATTAGTTCCAGTTATAATTTTCTGTTCGCACCAGCAATCACCTGAGGCCTGTGGCCAAAATCAAAATTAGACCGACAAGGGCGCCTATAGAAGAAAGCCGGGCTTCAGGATCAGGTGATCCCTTCCCTGAACCTGAAGTAGAAGAATCTGGTGCCAAAGTGATCATAAGGCAGTCAGATTCGACTCTTGGTTTACACCTTCATGAAAGAAACATGTTGCGCTTGTTTCATCTTTTTCAGCTTAAGTTGAATTTGCCCCTGCTTTAATCTGAATGCTTGGGTTTCTTGGCATTATTGAATTCTGACTCCATGACCCAGGATCAGATTCCACGATGGCGAGGTTGATGAGCATTATGTGGAGATCCACCGGTCTCTGGGATAACTATTACGTGCAATTGTCTATTTATGTTTTGTTTGCTTCTTACAACATCAAAACCTGTTTGGTTGTCTCAACATCCATCCAAGGCATGTTTGGCTGGCAAGACGGCCAAATCTTGAGGAAGCGCTTCTGGAAGAGAAACCCCGCCATGGCAATTTGCACCTCAAAAGTGCCTTTGTGGAAATCTAAATCAACTTTGGGGGACAATTTCTGCTTTGGTGCTTCTTGCAAAAAATCACCCACCGTTTAAAATTTTTGTTTATGTCTAGTTTTGCCATCTTGCTCTCAGAGGCCAGCAGCTACCAGAAAGTATCTCAGCTCGTGGATGGGATACTACTGGCACTGAAGACCCTGTGGTGCTGCAATCGCCATATCTTTTCGGCCTTGATGTGCCTGGTTCATGATTACATACAAGGTCATTTTTGACTGCTGGGGCCACCACATCAATTTCACATGAACATTCATGGCCTACTGAGGATCACGCACGAGAACATACGTATCATCTACCTTCTGGCCATTCGTCGATGATTGCGGTGTTTGCCCTGGATGATGTGACTCGGCTTTTGTTTCCACATCAAGTCAGCACCAAAATTTATCGGCTAGCAGTTTTCTTTAGCTTTAGGTTTGTTGAGCCTAGGTATCAAAATTGCTGGAGGAGCATGGCAAGCACAACCGCACATCTCTCCAGACTTTGCAGCTGATGGATGAGTTGGTCAGCAGAAGCGTAGCAGCTGCGAAGCTTTTAGTTCTTCGGTGTGTTTTTCATAAAACTTTCTAGTTTCCAGTTTTTAAAATAAATCAGGCTGTCATTTACAATTTCTTTTAACTTTGGCCCTGTTTAGATATTGCTGCAGGCGATGGTGGAGGATTCAGAGAAGACAAAAGAACCCCCAGAGAAGACTGATGATGGTAAGGGCAGTGAGTTGACGAGTGAACCTTCGGTGGATGAGGAGGAAGGGGAGGAGGATTCGGGGGTGGAGGACATTCCTCTGCCACCGCCATTTTACCCTCCAACACCACCTCCACCTCCACCATTACCACCACCGCCCAGAAACCCCTATGTGTCACTTTGCTGTGATCAGTCGTTTTTTTTTTGAATTTTGAATGGACAAAAATGAAATTGTGACAACTTGCTCAACTTGCTCAATGTCTACTGGGTGCTGTCTGCTGCCCCTCACCTAGGTGACCCCAAAAGACGGGTGATGGCAAAGCAGCTGCACGCTTGGCATTGGAGGATGACGGTGATGACAACAAGTTTCAACCCGCATGGCAAAAAAAGGGGAGCATGACCACATGGCTGCTGTGGGATGTGATGACATCTAATTACTGGATTGAAATCAACGCTGATTTATTTGAGTCAAGCCGTGTGTGGTATTTTCTTATAGATCTAGAACTGCTCGTTTCTAGCCGCGAATCCATTATTTTTCATTCCCCACGGCTCCTGGCCTTGACTTCCCGCAGGTGCACCAGCCATTGCTACCAGCTTCCAGCCTTTCCAAGTGTTTGGTGTCCCAGCTGGGATGGTTGTGGGATTCATGGGGCTCAGCTTTTCAGGAAGCCAAGATCAACCAAGAAAAATCAAGTGTGATCATTGGGGGAACATGACCTAAAGTCTTGTAGCTGCCCCCTCATGACAAACCCAGCTACATATAATACCCTCCACAATCACCAGTAAAGGTTGCTATCTCGAATTCATTCGTTTATGGGCATAGCTCAAACTGAAGGTTGGGGTGTAAGTAGGCCACATGCCCTCCACCAAAAAGTGTTAAACAATTCAAGTTCAGTGCCCCTTTTGGAAAATATCATGTTCACCAACTAATTAAAGATTGCATGGATTAAAATATCAACACAAGCACCCACTCGAATTAATAGTACTAATGGATCATTACTGTATTGGCCTGATCTGGCCTCCATTTTCTGCAGGTGCACCATTGCTGCTGTTTTTCAGCCTTGCTGAGCGTTTGGTGTCCCAGGTGGAACCGGTGTGAGGTCCATGGGGTCATTATTGGCTAATAACGTTTAAGAACCACCCCAATTACCCAATATTTTTCAAAATCTGATCAAGTGGGATCACTGCCCCTTCATGACACATCCAGCCAGTTTAAAAACCAAAGAGTCACATTGCCAACAACTCCCATGAACACATCATCATGTGTTCCAAAAGCACATAAAATCAAAGTTATCTGACATGTTGGTTGGCATCATTGTCATTTATAGCGGGTTTGTGGGTATTGCTCAAATTCAAGTTTGGGGTGTTTAGGCCAAATGGCCTCCAGCATATGTTATTTCAAACTGTTCAGTGTCCCTATCCAATCAATGACAATGATGATTGCACTATGAATCATCAGTGAACCAGCAAATTCAAAACAACCACAGCAAAAAATAACAATTCAATTTGTCAATAGATTCCATTTTGAAAGACCAGTGGCGAATAAGATGGCTTGCAGCCTTGGGTCCCGTGCTGGTCGGTCCAAAACAAAACAACAGCTTCGCGCTGTGGCCTCAAAGTGGCAAAGATGGCGAACGACCTTTCCATGGGTTCTTGTTGGGGAGCATGGTCTGGCATGCTCAATTTGCCAAAGAGCTGGTGTGGACTCTGCGTTTGCTCGTGGTGAAGGCCCCTTGGGTTGAAGAGTTTAAGTCTTAACGATGTACCCCTAGCCACATGAATTGTAACCATGACTGACTGAAGTGCTGAAAATGTTCTGGTTTCCCCATGTCCTATCTGGTGGTATCATGTGTCCCTCTTGGACCCAGGTGGCAGGGGATCAAAGAAGGTGTTCCGGTCGCATGTGAAGCAACATGCTGCGACCAGACTACATCGTCTCGCTGTGACTTGGATGATCAATAATAATGATAATAAATAAACGCATTTTTACTGGCGCCCGCTTTCCTGAAGTTCAGGGAAACTAGAGTTGAACATCTAACCATCCAAGATCATCTAACTATAAAGTTCCATGGAGGTCTCTGGAAACCATTTTCGGGAAGAAAAACGCCAAAAATCTGAGCCTTTTTCTTCCCGAAAATGGTTTCCAGAGACCTCATGCAACCTTATACATCTAACCCAAGAAAGTTGGGAGTCCAGTCAACTGGATACTCTCTTTGTTTGGGTGGACAGCCCAAAGAACAGTGAGGCAGCTTCGGTGGAAAATGGTGCCTTGAATTCTTCATGTTTTTTCCGACAAATTTAAATTTAGAATGTTGCTTTTTAGTTCTTTTGGTTGAATGTTAGTCATTTACAGTGTCTAGCAGCTCATCCATCATTCAGGTGCTCAGGCAGATGGCTACAAAGCCATTGTGGAAGGGAAGGTTGTCCCCCATGGTTCTGTCTTCAAGGGGATGATCCGGTGCATCAAAGAGAAAAAGTCATCCGACACGGGCTGGCATCGCAAGCGCAAGCTGTTGTACTGTTTGGGGCAAGCTTGTCGCATCAAGACCCTGAGGATCTTGCGCAAAGCAACATCTGTATCAGTTCAGCAGGCGTGAACTTGTTTGGGGTAAAACTGCATGAATTTGAAATGTTGTTTGTTTGTTTTTGTTGGTGCCTAAGGGATGGTGGTTTCAAAGTGTTTGGTTTACAGTAGTTTTAATGGGATGATGGGTTGAAACCACCAACCATATGTAAGTCATCCCTTTGTGGCAGGATGCCCGCAAGAATATCTTAGCACTACGCTTCACAGCAGCCTCTGACAAGGACTTGACTCAACACAGTGGAGTCCTGGGGGTCACCAACGTGGCTGAAGGCCAGGACTTCACCGCAGTTGGAGTCAAAAATGCTTCTGTGAAGGTCATCAAAGATTTGTGCTTGGGCAACACCCAAGTGCCGTTCTCAGATACTGAGGTTTCTTTTGGCAACTTTTTACACTTGTCGGGGCTCTATTATTTAAAGATGACCAACATGATTTTTTC